TATGTCTTCCTCTTCCTCAGTGCTACCATGTTGATCACTCATATTTGGTACATTGTCCTTCTCTTCACCCAAATCAATACTTATCTCTACCTATCTAACAGTGTTCCCTCCCTTCCCCTCCCACCCCTGGTAACCAACAAAGAAAATTTCCTTCCATAGATAAACCTTTCCTTGACTTTTGCATTGACGGACTAATAACAATATTTGTAGCACTGGACTTCTTTTATGTGAGGGGAGAAACACTATAATGTGTAAGACATTGTTTTGTGTTTTCTATCATAAACAGGAGTTCTGGTAGCATAGTGCCTAAGGCACTTGACTGCTAACCAGAAGGCTAGCGGTTCAAACCCACCAGCTATTCCTCGGAAGGAAGGTTGGGCAATCTACTTCTGTAGTGATACCGCCTCGGAAACCCAAGGAGGGGTTGCTGTGAGTCAGGGCTGACTCGGCACATAACAACAAACAACAACAATCATAAACAAAATACAAAAAGCCAAACTCACTGCCATCAAGTCAATTCTGACTCATACTGACCCCTTTGGGTTTCCGAGGCTGTAAATCTTTATGGTATGGAAGTTGATTGCCCCATCTTCCTTCCACGGAGTGGCTGGTGGGTTTGAACTGCTGACTTGGTTAGCCGAATGTCTTATCCATTATACCACACAAGCTCCTTTTTCTATCATAAGCAGCCATGATAGATTTTTCTATCTGAATCAGCCTAACTGATTCAGGATGCAACCTATGCCAGGACTGGCCAATTGGTATGTTTATCCTTCCCCCATTCACAGTGAATAGAGAACTACTGAGAGTGTTCTTCCTTCTGCCTGCTTGTCTGAGGGCAGTGCTGGGAGGAGGATACCACTGACACCATTTGTCCCCTTGATACAGCTTTGCCTGAAGCCGATAGACTTGTTAGTTATAGGAGCCTCAGTTTCATGAACTTCTGTACAACTGAACTGTTTACAATAAGCACAGTTTAATCAGAGGGAGCATTCTAGGCATCCTTAAGTTCAAAGACGTAGAGGTAGAAAACAGGCTAGAGAGATGAGAGGGTGGGGTGGGTGGGCGTTAGGGCCAGGTGGGGAAGAGCCAGGTGGGTGTCTGGTGTCCAAGCACTTCCTGCGTGGGGAACCATCAGAGCTTTTACAGGGAGGGTCCTGTGTTTTCAGAAGGGTGTGTGGCAGGTAGACTAGGGAGATGGGAGCTGATGCTGAGGCTGGTGGGGCTGAGTAGGGGGTACGTTCTGGAGGTGAAATCCACAGAATGTGGGGACCAGTTTGATATTAGGGGGCATGATAAGACAAGACTTTCTGAGCCGGGGAGGAAGTGCTGGGTCTGAGGAACTTGATGGCTAAGCCAAACTTTTATTAGAAAGCAGCTGGTTCTAATCTCAGATCTTAGGGTTGTTGGAGAGGTAGGGTGACCTCGCCTTGTTAACCCCCTGAGAGAGGGTGCTCCTGGCCAGTCCCCTGGCAAGGAGAGTGAGGAGAGGGAAGAGCCAGGTAGGCTTGGCCCTTCCCCGACAGCAGCTCATCCAGTCCTCATTTGTCCTGACCCTCCACTTTACCAAGAATGATGTCCTTCTCCAGGGACATCCTGATAACATGACCAAAGTATGTGAGATGCAGTCTCACCATTCTCAATACTGAGGCTCATTCTGGCTCTTTCCAGACAGATTTGTTCATTCATGCAGGCCATAGTACATTCAGTATTCTTTGCCACCACCATGATTCAAAAACATCAGTTCTTCAGTCTTCCTTATTCATTGTCCAGCTTTTGCATGCATATGAGGCAATTGAAAATGCCATGGTTGGGGTCAGGTGCACATTAGTGCTCAGAGTGACATCTTTGCTTTTTCACCCTTTAAAGAGGGCTTTTGCAGCAGATTTGCCCTGAGCAGTGCATCATTTGATTTCTTGAGTGCTACTTCCACAGGGTTGATTGTGGATCCATGTAAAATGAAATCCTTGACAACGGCATTCTTTTCTCTGATTATCATGGTATGGCTTATTGGTCCAGTTGTGAGGATGTTTGTTTTCTTTATGTTGAGGTGTAATCCATATTAAAGCCTGTAGTCAGGACTAAGGGGAGGGTATGGAATGTGCGGC